GCACTCGCTGCCCGAGCGCTCGTGCAGCCGCCGGGGCTTTATCCAAAGCGGCTAGCTCAAGCTTTCGATCTCTGTTTGTTTTCATATCGTGTTAGGCTTTTAAGCATTAGTCCCTGTCCTGCGTGTTAAAGTGTAAACTCTCCTTTGAAGAAAAAAACAAATTTGCCTAAACCATTGCGTGGATCAAAGGTAGTGGCTATTTATCATATAATTTTAATCTTTGTAACACAGACAGCGCTCTGTCTGTGTCCTCCTTCATCCAATATTCCGTCGTTTTTTTGCGCTGTCTTAATATTTTAAGTTTGTAAACCACATAATTTATGGTGGTGTGTTGTTCAACATGTAAATAGTGTTTGACAGGGCCCCATGACAATGAGTGCAATCAACTGTTTGCGGATTCAGTTGAATTAATGTCTACATATGTCTCACTATTGCAGGTGTGTAACACCGACTGCCGGGTGATGAGCATCGACCCACGGTATCCTGGGTCGGTGCACAACTCCTTCGCGTGGCGCTACTCGTGGCTCCGGAGCAACTTCAAGCAAGGCCGGCTGATAGACGATGGCAGGCTCCTGCTCGGTAAGCATACTCCATTTGTTGCTTCTGTACATGATGGCTGTGCACCACTTATAAGCTACAATGTCACACATATTGTTCCGAACATGGATAACTGGCATGCGCTCTGGCCATACCTGTGACACGTCTCCTTGGAAACACTCTGACGCAGCTGTCAACTAGAGGGGGGAAAGGTTGCAAACAGCAGTTTTACCTGCGTAGTTGTGAGCAATTTTAAAGGGATACTACAACGAAATTTCGGTGCTTACTTTTTGGTCTATACGTGTTCAAAAGAGCAGTATCACATCGAACTCATCAATATCTTGTTAAAAAAGGCACTAAAAGGCATTTAAATAAATTAGACAATTAGCAAAGAGCATTTTCTAGATGTCGCTAAAGCCGTTTGTAATGCCCGTCTAGGAACCTTGACAGGTAGGGATGATAACTGTCTTACCTAGAACTATACATGCTTTGAACCTGACGCCATCCCGACAGCTCTACGGCCAGCAGAAGAGAAAAGGGGAGGGAGGAATTCCACACTCGACGGGACTCTCTTTCGTGTGTCCCAAGATGATAGAAGATTAACCCGTCACTCAAAATTCACACAAAAGCAGCTTTGGGGTTAGTTGCGGTGGCCCGATCACTGGCGTGCTTCGACCGCTTTGGTTGCTGGAACAGCTAGGGAATCCTGACGACGTCTGCCTCGCCGCAGCTTTGCTCATCCCGAGATAAACTACATCACAATGGCATTGGATGTGACGTGCTCTCAGCTGGCTGCTCTCCGAGCCCTTGCCAGTGTTGGCTGTTTATAACGAAAAATACAGCCATCAAGCTCAAAATACAAATGTGCAATTGTCATTTACGGGTATTGTGGATCATATTCAGCCTATTTCTGAACACGACGGGTATATTTCAACTGTCGTTGAAGTATTCTTTAAAAAAAAACAGCATTAATATCATACATTTCCTTCTCCGACTCTGCAGGTGACAGCGCTGTCCCTGGATTCCACGCGACCTCCACCGCTTGGGGCCGGTTTAATAGGGCACATTCTTCGATAAGGTCCATTGTGGAGCGCTGCATTGGGCTGTTGAAAAGCAGATTCCAGTGTCTGCAAAGACACCGGACTCTGTATTATCATCCAACAACAGCCACCGTCATTATATCGTCTCGTGCAGTGCTCCACAATATGTGCCTTTCATCGAGGGAGGCAGAACCGGACCCTCACGAGCCAGGGTTGGAGTCTGGGCCGAGCTTGGAGGGGTCAGTGGCGGATGACGAGAGGCTAGCTCCTGCCCACCCTCGGGTCAGCCTCTCGGACAGGGGGAGGGCTTTGAAGCAGCGCCTTGTTGCCCAGTTTTGAACCCGCCAGAGCCGTGCCTCCCCGGAGCCCCACGCAAGCCACGATGGCAGTCGCGCCCACCAGGGACGCCACCAGTGCCAAGGAGTCCGTCGCCACAATGGAGATCCCGCCCATCAGGGACACCATCGGCGACAGGGAGCCCCTCATCGTCCTCGCCACGGTGGCACTCCCGCACACCAGGGACGCCACCGGCGACAGCGCACCCCTCGTCGTCCTCACCGTGACTGACGCCCTCGCCACCAGAGAAGCCCCCCGTGGCAGTATGTGCCTCACGTGGCAGTATGTGCCTCACGTGTTGCTCCACAGTCAAGGCCGTCCATAAGCTCCACAGTGTCAACTTCAATGCCTTGCGCAGTTCGTCGCACAACCACCGTGTTACCTTTACGGACATGTAGTACCACCTCCGAAATGCTATTCGGTGCATCACGGTGATGTTGATAGAGCTTTTTTTAATTTGCATGCAGGGTGCATAAAATGCCTGGAACAATAACAATGTTTTGTGGGTTATGTAGCTAGCCAACAGGGCATCTGGCTCGCCCTTGCAGGAAACGGATAACTCAATGAGGCTACTGGTGAGACCCGTTTTGCTTCTTTTACTGCAATATATTGTTTGTATCGGGTTTGGACATCGATTCATTTTCTCTACACTTCCATTGTCCTGTTCCATTTTACAATCTATTATGGTTATCACAGGGCCAGGTGTATTACTCGATAATCGCATATTGGATTTGTGTCAGTTTGAATGTATAAAGAAGACAGCAAGCAGTGTCTTTGAAAGTGCTTTCTTTTTTTTACAACAATGCCGTAACATGAAAAATAAACATGTTTGAAAGCACAGGTTGGAATACTTTCTATAAAATTGAGCGTGGACTATTAAACACCGTATAAATTCTTTGTCATTATCCAGGGTATATCACAGACATTATTTCACACTACACTTCACTTAATTCAGCACACTGCCATTTCGTGTGCGTTTTGTCACACATGGAAGCATGACAGATTCCATAGTAGAGGCATGTTGAGATCAACAATGATATAAGATAACAAACAAACGAAAAACACAGGGACACAGACGAAGGAAACAGGACAAAATGCACTCTTAACTGAAGTTTATTGAAAATTTAACTTCAGCTGAGAGTGCACCTTGTCCTGTTTCCCTTCGGCTGCGTCCCTGTTTTTTTCGGCGGTTTTTCTGTTTGCAATGAACGAACTGGCCCAAATCTCCACTTTATTTCGATAAAAGAAAAATGGCAAACCCGGAGGCCAGTTTCAGGCGGGTGGTAAGTTGTGGCTAGAGTGCAGACCTCTTGGTTTCAAATAAAGAAAACCCGGGAGCGCCCAGGGCCGAGTCCTCGCCCACCAGCGCCAAAATACGTGAGTATGATGACGCCAGCGAGCGCACCCGGGCGCCTCCGCCCCCTGTTTGCTTGCGGGTAAAGGAAGTAATTCAATAGCTTGGTCCACACTATGAGTAAACTACGCAAATCACCTCGCCTGTTTCGCCATCTCCGCAGCCCCCGCCCGCGCCTTCGACACCCGCATGGCCCAGTAGCGTTTCCAACCTTCCGGCTCCTTCCTTGGAGGCTTCCTTGGAGGCCCGAGGAAGCTGAGCCGGGAGGTTAGCTCGTTCCAGAGACGAACTTTGTCGTCTCTGGACAGCGCCGGGCTCAGCTTAGTTGAGCCGCGTACCAGAGAGGCCACATCCTCCTGTTTCTTGAGCAGTCATCAGCGCCAGAAATTTGAACTAGGCGCTCATCCGCGTCCCGCATGTTGTTCTAGCCTTTCATGCGAGTTTACTCTATCTAATATTTCCTGGAACCGCTAAAAAATCAGTTGTTTATTTCAATAGAGCACGTGTATTTTTTTAGTTTGACAAGTTTCTTTAAATAGAGCCGATGTGAAGGTCGCCGCCGCAAGGGATTGGCTGCCATCACTTGTCTAAAAGCAGAAACTGCCTTTCCGGTTGCCGGAGAAACGGACGCTTGCGTAGGGACTAGATTCCAGATAGGTACCGCCGGGAAAGCGTAGGTACGGCAGGGGGACAGCGTAGCTACTTCCGCTCTTCGGTGGTTGGCTCTTGACGCCGCTCAAGTGAGTGACAGACGCCAATCTTGCAATGTCGTCACGGCGTCAAAGAGGGCGGTTTCGCGGTGCGCGCCGTTGCTTGGTTACGCTCCTCCTGCCGGTACGTCACTTCTGTTTCTAGTTTCTCGAAAGTCCAACATAGGTCCCCAGTTTGCCACTGCCTTCCCTCTTTTCATTGCGTGATGTCTAAGCGTTATGATTAGAGAGGAAAAATTATGACACTGTGTAGAGTCGTCAGATTTATAAATGGTCATAGCTAGGTGGAGATTTTTAGTGCACGTCATAAGATTTCCAAGTAGTGGAAATTATTCTTGTCCAACGCTGAGACGTGCCAGATGCCCTACGTTTGATTGGCATCTACTACCCCGAGATTTACATTTTGCAGGTTTCAATAATAGTATGCATTGGTTATGCAGCACCAATATTGTGTGTTGCGATTGTGACCCTGCAGCTGCTGTCAAAAAAAGGATTGTGGCCCAAATAACCGCTCCAGTTCCTGCAAGCACTCAACATGGGGCACCTCAGCCAGCAGCCGGTTCTTCTCCAGCTGCAGCCCGACCTTCCGCAGCTGCAGCCAGACCTTCCACAGCTGCAGCCGGACTTTCCACAGCTGCAGCCAGACCTTCCCCAGCTGCAGCCGGACCTTCCGCAGCTGCAGCCAGACCTTCTGCGGCTGCAGCCAGACCTTCCGCGTCTGCAGCACGACCTTCTGCGGCTGCAGCCAGACCTTCTGCGGCTGCAGCCAGACCTTCCGCAGCTGCAGCCAGACCTTCCGCAGCTGCAGCTAGACCTTCTGCGGCTGCTGCCGGACATTCCGCGTCTGCAGCCAGACATTCCGCGCCTGCAGCCATACATTCCGCGCCTGCAGCCATACATTCCACGTCTGCAGCCAGACCTTCCGCAGCTGCAGCTAGACCGTCTGCAGCTGCAGTCAGACCTTCTGCGGCTGCAGCCAGACCTTCCGCAGCTGCAGCTAGACCTTCTGCGGCTGCTGCCGGACCTTCCGCGGCTGCAACCAGACCTTGCGTAGCTGCGGCTCGACCTTCAGCTACAGCCGGGCCTTCGACAGCAGCAGCAGCTGGGCCTTCCAGAGCAGCAATCCAACTTGTGGCACAAGCAAGAGCATCCCTGGTCGTTGGTCCCCTTACAGGAGAGACCAGCATCCCGGAACATTGTCCGCCCCTCCTGGACAATGGGCATGGAGCCCAGACAAGCACTCCATGTGTCCAGCAAACCATCGAAGGTGCTCATGCTTGCTGTTACTTGTGCAGCAGGCAGCTGTCACAGTTCATGTCGCTAAATCATTCGGCATAACTGCTAATATACATACCTGCATGGTTTGTAGTTTTGAACGAAGGAACCTGCTTTATGGTGTCTAAACAGCATACAAATGGGCTGTTACGCAAGGTAGACAACCTTTTCAGAACTTTCATCATAAGCAGTTAGAGTAAAGCTGAGCAAAATGGTGCGCAAGTTTTATTTAATCTACTACTTCACTATTTTATTTATCTACATGCATTTATCGTTCCGACATTTGGATGGGTATAATAAAATATTGCTGGCAAGCAGAAAATGGCCAGTAATTGGAGCCAAAATTCCTCTGTGCTTGAGTGCAAGGGGCTTATTTCAGAAATCTCCAGGAATAGCACATATATAATTATTCAGCATAAGAAATAGAGACAAAAACTGTATAATTATGAATTCATTTATGCATACTTCTATTTTACAGAGATCGAGCACGAGGACAATCTTGGTCAGTCCGTGATGTCTGGGTCGCATGACGGGTGCAGACTCAAGATTGCACAGATGCAGCAGCGGATCTTGAGTTTGGAAGCTGACAACATGCGCCTCCAAGTGGAGCTACAGCACCACGAGACACGGCGGCTATCGGTTGACTTCATCAGACATGACCCCAAGCAGTGCATTTATTACACTGGGCTGCCCGAGTTTGCTGTATTTGAAACAGCATACGATTTTTTTGCACCTCGGGCATCCCAGATGCAATACTGGTCGAGCGGTCGAAAGAGTAGCGGGATGAAAGGCCGCCCCCGGGAGTTGGAGCTCATTGAGGAATTCTTCATGGTACTTACTAGGCTGAGAACGGGAATGGCTGGCAGGGAAATGGCCCGCAATTTTGGAGTACATGAAGCGACGGTGAGCAGGCTGTTTACAACCTGGATAAACTTCCTGCAGCGAGAGTTGAGTACACTGACACGGCTTCCATCTCTGCACGAAATTCAGATGTATCTGCCTCATGCCTTTCGCTACTTCGTAAACACAAGAATAGTTCTCGACGGAACGGAGGTGCGCATCCAGAGGCCCTCTTCCCTGGCTGCCCAGAGGCATACTTTTTCACCTTATAAGCATTTTAATACTTATAAGGCGGTCATTGGCTGTACCGCTGATGGCTACGTTTCATATGTTTCCAAGTTATGGGGAGGGTCAGTTTCAGACAGGCTGATTGTAGAGGAGAGTGGGTTGTTAGGGCTATTGGAGTCAGGTGACGCCATTATGGTGGATAAGGGTTTCAAGCTTAATAACATACCAGCAGGGGTTCAGGTGCACATCCCTGCTTTCAGAAAGCCGCAAGAGCCGCAAATGCCAGAGGAGGACGTTGCGCACTCCCGCCGGGTGGCTAGTGCCAGAGTAATTGTTGAGCGTGTGATTGGGAGGGTAAAACAGTTTCACATTTTGGATCGTCCGTTCCCCATCACAATGATCGGCATTGCTAACCAGGTCTTTCAAGTTTGTTGTTTCTTAAGCAATTTCCGGGAGCCACTGACTAGGGATGACTATTGTCACAGTCAAAACATGTAAACTTCCCTGTGTAAATACTTTAAGGCAATGAAAAATTTTGCGAAAAAACAAATCACTTGCACGACTTATTTAGCATGCACGCTGAATGATGCATGTTAAATGGATGCGAAACAAGATTTTGGATCTCGTAAAACAAGCCAGGTGCAATAGGCGGGACATTACAAACCCCCATAACATCACTCGTACCGCAATATTTCGAACGGATGGCCGTATTTTTAGGAAAGAAGGGAGCGATTGAACGACGAAGGCAGGCAAGGCCTGTCATGTTCAGATCCTCATTCCCCCTCCCCTTTGCCCCCTCGAGGAGGTAAACCGAACCGAGGAGCAGAGAAGGACGTCCGTTTTCTCTTGTTCTCAACCGTTCCCAGAGAATGGCTACGTCGCATTCTTTGCTCAGTCCTGCCCTTTTTGTCCAAAAACACGGCCATCGGTTCGAGATATTGCTGTACGAGTCATGTTTTGGCGTTCGTAGCGTCCTGTGAACACTTCTGCGGCCTTATTTTGTGAAATCCGAATTTTGGTTCAGCATTCCTTGAAAGACCCTGTGTTAGTAGTCATTGTGCAATCACTAAATTGTTCCTCTATGATGTGGACCAGTGTCACCACGGCAAAGCCAGTCCGACCACTCTCTAAACATTAATCTACGACTACCGTACTTCGAGTTTTTCACAACTTTGCACCAGGCCCATCCGGTATGATGTATTTATCTTTTTTTAATCATGTTATGAGGCAATCAATTGGCTGCTTACATTATAACTTCATCACTCTGTCCAACCACGTTAGACCTATTGTTTGTGGCACTTTCCCGATTTTAGCAATCATATTTACTAGAACATACATAATTTCTGAATGTAGGCCGACCCTTGTATTAAAGAAAAAGAAATATCTGAGGCGAAATACAAACCAATTAAATATAAACGGACAGTCTGGCCACATCAAGCTTCCTACCACTGCTCTGCGCACACATAAAGCTTCACCGCTTTGCATCTGTGTGCTTGGTAGAAGTAGCCGACTCGCGTGGCATACCTCAAACAGCTTTATCCTCTCCGAAATTTTGCTCACTATTACAGGTCTCTCATTGTTGCAAATATATTTCTCATTAACACGTGATTGTTGATTATATGTAAGCCTGAAGTTATCTGGAGATGTGTGCTTTGTTGGAATAGGTTACTGATGACCAGAGTTGGAAGTTTCCTAGACTTGGACACCTTGGCTTTGAGCAGGCACGTGCGATTTTTTGTTGTATAAACAGTTGAAAGAAATGTAAATATGTTTGATAGCCTGTTCCAACTAACCTTGTATACCTGTTTGCCAGCACATTAGGGGCTGTTGATTTCAATAAAATACGAGCGCTAGCTTCGAGACCTGGTTTTCTTTCATTGCGTATTCATCAAGACATGGCAGATTCCTGTCGGGACGAGGTTGGCGTAAACAAAGCGTTTAATTCGAGTTAACGATACGTTACCTGGTTACATGAGCCCGCACGTCAAGTCTCCGTGCGCCCGTCGTGTTGGCGTTCTCCGACCCAGACTCTCGCACTCAGCCCTCTCGCTGGCTTCTTTGTCGTCTGGCTTGTGGCACCCTCTTCGTGCTGTGGCTCTCACGACACCCCCCTTTCTTTGAAGACTCCCAGCACCTACAGGTTGAGGCGGCTTGGAGGTCTTGATTTTCGTCCACCTCTCGTGACGGTTATTCCAGGCTGCCAAGGTTGCAGATGTCTGCTCGTGCAATGAGTGATGCCATTGGCTGTGTTCACCGCATATGACCTAGGAGACTGCGTTGATTGCAGCACTGTCCCACTTGTGGCTGCTCCTGACAGAATTTGCACAGCTGTATGTGGAGGTATATGGTCTCGTTCTTTGACCCTACGACGGGCATCGTAATGTGCACTCAGCTTTGCTTTGTATGCACGATCCTTTTTCCGAAAGGGCTCGTTGTTCCACCGAGGCTGGAACGCTTTGGACACAGCTGGAACATTTGTCCGTATCTTTCTTCCCATCATGAGTTCCGCAGGGGAGTATCCTTCAGTTGCAGGGGTATCCCGATGAGCAAGCAGCGCCTTGTGGATGTTCGGCGACTTTTAAAGCAGCTGCTTTGCCGTCTGTATGGTCCTTTCCACCGCCCCATTGCTCTGAGGATAATATGGGCTACTTGTTACATGGCGTGATCCCCACTCCTTCGCAAACCTTTCGAATTCGGCAGAAGCGAATTGGGGCCCATTGTCTGATCGAATGATGGGGGTGCTCCAAAATGGGCAAACATCTAGCTCAGTTCCCGTGTGATGTCTTGGGTTGTTGTCTTTCTTAATTTCTCAAGTTCAAAGAACCTCGAGAAATAATCTACCACTACAAGGTAGTTCTCGCCACTTTCGTTAAAGAGGTCCGCGCCTACAACTTCCCATGGGTGATTCGGGAGTGGAGTGTGTAGTAGGGGCTCTGCGCCAGGCTTTCGGTGTGTCTGACACACTGGACATCTTGAAACAGTCTTCAACACTCCTGCTGATGCCAGGCCACCAAACTGATTGATTGGCCCGAGCTCTGCAACGACCTACGCCCTGATGACCCGTGTGCAGGCTTTCCAGCACCTCGTCCTGCATGCTTGGCGGGATGACGATGCGACTTCCCTTGAGGAGAAGTTCTTCAACTACCGTGAGCTCTTGGGACACACTGGCATATTTCTGTACTGCTAGTGGCAGTGACACGCCCTTGGGCCACGTCGTTGAACAATAGTTCCCAACAGTCACGATAGTTGGATCTCGCTTTTGTTCTTCTTTGATCCTCTCCAGCATGTTGGTGGAGGCCGGTAGGAGTTCTACGCTGAGTAGCTCGTATTCTGTCAAAGCTACTTCGAGACTTCTTGGACTGCTGCTGTCCGTTGTTGCTTGCGGCTTCCGTGAGAGTACGTCAGCTGTATGGATCTCCTTGCGGGAATATGGGAGATTGTGTAGTCAAATTCCAGCAGTCTCATTCGCAGACGCTGCAATCATGGACTCGGCTCGTCTATGCGCTTTGATGACAACAGAGGCATGAGCGGCTTATGGTCGGTCTCTATGTGGAATTGCAGATCGAGCAAGTACTGGCGGAAATGCTCGCATGCCCATGCGATTCCCAGCGTCTCCTTTTCTATCTGGGCGTAGCGTTGTTCAGTTTCTGTGAGTGACTGTGATGCGTAGGCAACAGGGAGTCGCATTCCGGACATCTCCTGAAGGAGGACAGCCCCAAGGCCGTACAAGGATGCATCCGCTGAGACTGTGAGATGACTTCGAGGATCGTAGTGTACCGGTGTGGTCGTCAGTGCTTCTTTGACGGAGTCGAAACTTTTTTGTTGAGGCTCTCCCCAGCACCAATCAGCGTCATGGTGAAGCAAATCGCAAAGCGGTTTCGTGAGTTGAGAGAGTCCAGGGAGAAATTTAGCCAGGTGGTTTGCCATACCCAGGAACGACCTGACCTCCGATACATCTCCTGGCGGTGTCAGTTGAGCGAGAGCCTTGATCTTTACTGGATCCGCACTGACCCCGTTGGCCGAGACGACATGTCCGAGGAATTCTGCAGACTGTTTGCGAAGAACGCATTTGTCCTTGTTGAGAGTTATGCCCGCATCTTGCAGGCGCTTGAGTACCTGATGCAAGTGTGAGTCACGTTCTTCTCTCGTTCTTCCAAACACGATGATGTCGTCTTGAAGGCAAGCTTGACCTTCGAGACCTTCGAGTACTGTTAGCATCTCACGCTGGAAGAACTCGGGTGCAGTGGAGATACCGAATGGTAGTCGGAGGAACTGAAATCTACCACATGGCGTCAAGAAGGTTGTATACTCCCGTGATTCTGCTGCCAGTGGGGCTTGCCAGTAGCCCGCTCTGGCGTCGAGTTTGCTGAACCAGGTTGCTCCAGCCAGTTTTCCAAGGCATTCGTCGACAGTTGGCATTAAGACTCATTCCCTCAGGATGCAGCTGTTCAGGCCACTGTAATTGACACAGATGCGTAGTTCTCCGTTTTTCTTTCTGGCCACAACCATCGGTGCACACCACTCAGTTGCGTGGTCTACCTTTGCGATGACTCCGAGGCTCGCCATCCGCTCCAGCTCCTGCTTGACACTTGGAAGAGGGACGCGCCTCGGGTACGTTACCGCATACGGTTTGGCGTTGGGGAGCAGAGCTACCTTGTACTCGGTGTTTAGTAGTCCGAGACCCGCAGTCAGCTTGGGGTAGTCACTGAAGATGTCTGCTGTGTGTGTCGTCTTCGTCTACCTCGGATCCCTCGACTACAGACAGGCTGCACAGGACTTGCAGAGACTTGATTGCTGGATGGCCAAGAAGCGCGTCGTGAAGGTTGTCCACTACGAACACCTGCTCCTGGCACGATCGTCCATTCCACCTCAGGGTCGCCTTGAACTGTCCCACGGTGGGAATCTTGGCTCGGCCGGGCCCCAGGAGTGCCTTCGTAGGTCTGCTGAGTGGTCCCATGAGTGACTTGTTGTAGACCCTGGACGGGATGGCCGTGACGTCAGCTCCCGTGTCCACCTTGAACTCTACGGGCGAGCCGTTGACGCAAGCTGTGATCCGCCAGTGTTCTGATCCGAGTTGACTTGTTACTTTACCCAGGTAAACCTCTTCGAGTGCGGCGTGGCGCTGACTCTGGCTGTCTTGAGTTTTCTTCTTTGTGGACAGGCACACTGACACGAAGTGTCCTTTTTTTCCACACCCATTGCATGTCTTGTCGGCAGCAGGACACTTGGCACGCAAGTGTGGGCGCGTGGAACCACACCATCTGCAAGCTTGGTTCTGTTCTTTGTTGCGGACTGGTAGCTGCTTCTTCTCTTTGGCCCGCTGCGCGGAGAAGTGAAGCTCGTCTACGATCGCGTTCGGCTGTGCTTGTGGTCGCAGTTCCTTGAGTTGCTGCTTCACAGTTTCCGAATTTCGAGCCTTGGAGATCGCCGTCTCCAACGTTAGTTCAGGGTTGAGCTGAAGCTGCTCAATCAGCTTGACGTCGACGAGTCCCACGACGAGTCGGTCTCTAATTAGCTCTTCTTTTAAGTCGCCGTATGCACATACCTCTGCCAGCTTGTAGAGATCTGTCACAAAGGCGTCGACCGTTTTGTGCGCTTCCTGCACACGCCTGTTGAACTTTAAACGTTCGTAGATGACATTCGTCCGAGGGACAAAGTGTCTGCCGAAGGCGGTTGTCACTGCATCGTAGTCGTGTTTCTGGGCATCAGTCAGTTTCAGCGACGCCAGGACATCTTCTGCTTCGCGTCCCATAGCGTAAACTAACGTGTTCACTTGGGTTTCCCCGTCTTGTTTTTTCAACCCAGAAATGACCCGGTATCTCTCCCATCGGGTGAACCAACGCTTCCAATCATCGGGACGTCGAAAATCCAACTTTTCTGGCAACTCAGCGACGTTGAGCGACGTTGGTTGTTGCGCAGCTTGTTGCCCAGTGGCCATCGCTTACCGGTCGGCGTGGTCGTTGCAGACGTACCTTGGCGTGGCGATGCAAAGTTTCGGATTCCGAGCGTTCCGCCGACGTACCTTGTCGTGGCGACGCAAAGTTTCGGATTCCAAGCGTGGCGGTGCAAAGTTTCGGATTCCGAGCGTTCCCGTGCCTTGCCTCCCCGGAGCGGTTGCTGTTGTAGCTAGTTGACTTGTCTTCCACAGCATCCCACCGCTGCCACCATGTCGGGACGAGGTTGGCGTAAACGAAGCGTTTAATTCGAGTTAACGATACCTTACATGGTTACATGAGCAGTGAGCCCGCACATCAGTCTCCGTGCGTCCGTCGTGTTGGCGTTCTCCGACCCATACTCTCGCACTCAGTCCTCTCGCTGGCTTCTTTGTCGTCTGGCTTGTGGCGCCCTCTTCGTGCTGTGGCTCTCACGACAATTCCGACACACACAAGGGCCGTTTTGCATTTGTGGTCATTCAGTCTCCACTTCACTTCAGTTTTCTGAATGTTTTCTTTAAGCCAGGACCGTCCTCCACCCTGTAGGTTCCCTCACGAAACTTCTTGAAGGAGACATACTTTCCCCTAGCCAGGTCCTTGTGTCGCTGGATGCGTTTAGTGATCACCTCGGGGAACAGAGCATGCTCGGCAAAATGCAGCAAGCCAGGTAGCAGCTCCTTACTGACAAACTCCTCGTCTAGGGTGATTGTCTCAATGTGCGTCGAATTGGCGTCAGTGGTGTTGTTCGTCCAGAAAACAAAATCGCACCACCTGTGCCCAGTCACCATCATTTGTCCTTGCACCTGGTAGTAGAACGCGTGCTTGTGCTTCAGTTGCACGGTTCCGTCGATCAACTCGCAGCAGAACTTCTAGTCTCCGCAGGCCTCCTCGGGTGTTAACCCAATCTTCGAGATGGGACACTTCACCTCAAGAAGCCCTACTTCGCCGTTCTTGACGATGATCCTGTCGGGCGACGCTCCGAGGAAGCTGTAGCGCGGATGTATGTGTAGCCCGGTCTCATACACCTGTACTGGGTCGTCCCTGCAGTTCATGAGCGCGACGTAGGCGGCAACAGCAACGGGCTCCTTCATCCTTCCATAATGCAGTGCCTCACTCTTTGCTTCTGGGCTAGGATACATGATCCGTTTCACAAGGTAGTCAGGCTCTCTGCACTTAATCACAGCAGAAAACTGTGATGCCGTTATCCTCCCAAGTCGCTCACTGTGCCACCTCTGGTTGCAGGCTTGACCGATCGTTGAGGTCACAATGCCAGCCCTCTCTTCGGCAGTCAGTTGTGGCAGTGTCTGCATGTGGTGCTGTACAAGCTTCCGGGCCTCCTGGCTCCACAGATCCTGTTCATCGTCGATTTGAGGGATCGCTCCTGTGTGCCTCGCTTCTTTCACTGGCATGACGTTGACATACCTCAGGCAAAGAAGATTTGGTCTTCTTTCAGCCAGCCTCCCATAGAACTTCGTGATGTCCTCGTGCGACGGGCCAGGCACTCCTTCACAAGGGTCATACGAACGGCTTTTCTTCTGATGAGTCGGCTTGTTGATCAGGAACTTGCTGAACGTAATATCTGCAAGCGGTGCAGGAGCTGCGGGCTTCTTGGCTGCAATGGAAGAGAAATAGGAGATTGGGAGGAGAGGGGGGGAGGCGTTACTGATTAATAATTGTACCAGTTTCCCTCATTTTTATTATTCATGTCCCATGTGGTTTCAAAGATGTGCTGACAAACACCTTGTCAACGCAGCTCTTTGTGGCTTCCATGTTATTAAATACAAAATAACACCTGAATGTGAGAAGTTGTAGGCCTCTGAAGCCACCAGAGACCCTCAATCTGAACCAGAATTGGCTCTCTATTAACTGAAAAATGGCCAGAGTTGACTTAAAAATTATGACGTAGAAAGGCATATCTTGAATGAGACAGTGAAAGCAACAATCTTCGTATAATACACCATTAATGATGTAGTACTCAAACATACGTAATGTGCAAGTGCAACACATTTTACGGAAGCATTTGTTCCATACACACCTTGAGCTGGAACAATCCAAGAACAGGGAACGTCGGTGCAAGAGGTTGCCGTGGTCGTGTTGCAGCTCTCCTCTGCACAGAGAAGTAGCGCTATGATATGCTGGCAGCACCCGCTTTTCCTAGAAAACGACAAAATACAAAATGAACCTCTTATGACTAGATAGGTTGCTATGCTAACGGGGCGCTAGCGTGCGAACTGCGTGCACGAGAAGTGAAAGCAAGGAGACTTCTACAAGCTGTGTGTAGATGTTTACGAAAACGAGTAACTAATCTGGGTGGAAATAGTTGTATCGATCACACAATAAAGCGTTCGGTACAAACGTTATTTAGTGCTGTGGCGCACGTTTTATGCGGGCACTGGAGCACTTAATCGAAGCGTTCGTGCTCTCTCACGTGGTGCGGGGCTACATAGACATAAATTATTATTCAGAAACGTAACGGGGTATTACTCACCCAGCAACACAACTGCAGATGCCGCCTCTGACGGTGCCGGTGTCCCTCGTAAACCACGCGGAGACAGTATACGGTGCCTTCTTCATGGAAGGCAGGCACACGCATCGGACAAGGCACGTCCGAGAATCGTCCGACAGGTTCCACCGAACATTGCGTACGTAGCCTTCCTCCTTGAAAGCCCAACCGCGATGGGCCTGAAGCAGGGTGTCAGGCTTGGCTTGCATGTACCGCCACACTTCGTCTTGCGAGAAGTTCACACACGACGGAGGCCTCTCGACCCAAGCGTCCGGAGGAAACGAGAACGGGATGTTCTCGTCTTCGGTCATCGCTACCGTTTAGATAGCCGCGGAACGAAATAAACCAAACAGAGGGAAGAAAACCAGCGTGCCGTAACGTGAGAAACACGCCTGCCGGGTCTGTGTGTGATCATCCGGAAAAGCCTCGAACCCAGCTCCCCAGCTTTCTAGGAAGCTTCCAATTTTTTCCGGGAGGTGGCAGCACATATGTCGCAAAACGTGGATTGGCGCAGCGCTTCCACCCCTGATTTAACTGCCAGGGCAGCACGCTTATAACATAACGATACTCTGCTAAGAGAGCGCACAAATGAAACACAACGATACTCTGATTATCAGCTTTATGCTCAGATTGAACGTTTCTGCTTTTGGTTTTTTTTTAGTTTCCAAACTCTACAGAGTCAAAAGCTGCACAAAGTGTCAGCCAACATAGTTTCGGGGGTAACCGGACAAAAGCTCACCGGACAAAAGCTCACCGGACAGAAGCTCACCGGACAAAAGCTCACCGGACAAAAACTCACCCAATTTTTGACAGACCCGGACAAAAGCTCACCCCTTTTTTTGACAGACCCGGGCAAAAGCTCACCTCGATTTCTTTTTTTTTTTTCCTACCCGGGCGAAACACGGGCTCAAATAAAGTGCGGACGCAATGGACATTGGACCATTTTTAGGAGAACTTGTACCTCATCCACCATTGAGTTGCGAATTTTTTTTAAATACTTGGAAAAAGCGGGAGTTCGGCCTTCTGGAAAAGTACAAGAAGATGACCAATTTAAAAAAAAAAATTGTGCAGGATTTTAGATAGGCTCGGGTTCCTTCCACCACAGCTTGTTCCACAAGAACAAACTACCAAGGAAAAGTCTACCGGTGACATCGGCTACCTGCTGGACTATTTTGATTGCACGTATTTCAACGGCCGCTTCCGTTGTGCTTCTGTTCCATCTGCGGCGGCACCCAGAGCGATTTCTTCCCTTCGCCTGACTCTCCGCCGACGGCGTCCGGAGTTCCCCCGGTACGGTGGAATATGTACGACACTTTTCTTCAAGATAAAGACCGGATGAGCAACACCTGCGAAAGTAGAGTACCGGGTTCCAGAAGCTCGTCGGCCACGCCCATCCGAGCTTCTTGAGGCTGATTGAATGCCTACAGCAAAATCAGGCGCTCGTTGCCACGGCGTTGACAAAAGCCCGGGGGGACTGCATTTGCTTCTAACCAATCAATAAATAAACTTGTTTCTTCAAAAAATCAACAAGTCATGCGCCTGTCAGATTTAATTTATCGTTGCCTTTTTGTGTCGCACGCATGCACCTAAGTTGTCCGCACTCGTGTTAAGACCAACATGAAATTTTCTCGTGGTGAGCTTTTGTCCGGGTCTGTGAAAATATGGGTGAGCTTTTGTCCGGGTCTATGAAAAAATGGGTGAGCTTTTGTCCGGTGAGCTTCTGTCCGGTGAGCTTTTGTCCGGTGAGCTTTTGTCCGGGATTCATGGGGGCTACACCTGGACTGGAACCACCTCCCCTTCACTGTCAACTTTATTACCGACCCTTTTGCCTATGAATCATCTTCAGGACGCTTTCTTAGGAAGGCCAACCCGCACCAGACAATAGTAAAGCCCTGGGTGTACTCTGTCACCCAAGAAGACAGAACCCTTTCGGATCCTCACATAACCCAAGGTTACAGGTACACGCTGTCAAACAATAAAACACTACCCGCTTCCCAGAAAGCACATCGTGCTTTCTGTTTTTTTTTTTTTTTTTGTCTCATTTTTAATTGTTTCATGTGACATGGAGAGGGGTCATTGTTTCATGGAGGCTTTCTTCTCGAAGCAGGACATGTTCACAATGGAACTTATCTCGTCACTGCATACTCTGATTTAAAAAAAGGGAGAATTAGATGACGTTGTAAATAAAATCAAAATAAATTGCAAAAATATTGCAGGCTGTAACAGCGTTCCATGAAAAGGCGTTCGATGAAACGGCTTTGATGAAACGGCGTTCGATGAAACGGCGTTCGATGAAACGGTGTTCGATGAAACGGCTTCGATGAAACGGCGTTCGATGAAACGGCGTTCAACGAAATGTCGGGACCCACTTACTAACATATACTACGAAACCTCGCAAGGTGGTCTCAGTCGCCACAGAAAGCTCGCGAACATTAAGCGTTTTACATTACTAACATAGGCTACGAAACCTCGCAAGGTGACCGGCTGATCGGTCTCAGTTGCCATGGCGATCGCCATTTCGGTCCACTCAAATCTTCGAAAGGGTCGTTCTGAACCAGTCGCACCAAGATCGCTATGGAGCATCATATCGTACTGAAAGATTTCCTCGCCGATTTAATGTCATCTGGCGCTGCGCATGCAATCCAATTATCAATCACGCTTATCGGCACAGATCTCTAATAATGGTATTGTTGTTCTTGCGTATCTAAAGACAGGAAAATTATTTTTCAATCCCGCCAAGGACCGGCGCCGCGTGTGGTGGTGGTGCGAAGATGAGCGCTCGTTTTGTCGGTGTATGAATAACAAAATCTCGGTATTCAAGAAGCGTCTCTATAAAGCTACCCGTCACCGTCGAATCTAGATCGGCTCACAAAGAATGAAGCCAAAAAATAAACTACTCATTCCATGGACCGAAATTTCGACCATGCTTGGCGCTAGAGCCACTGTATACACGTTTGCAAGAAAGACTCCTGTGCGCTGCCATTTTGAGCGATGCTGGCGCCCCGTACCGTTTCCGCCATGCTGGGGTGCGCCAGGGGCACGTTAGTGCCACTAAATAAGCTACGCTTCAGAGTAACGACACTTGGCCATATTGTGGCTTAAAATCATGGTTGCCAGTTATCTGAAGCTTTATCTGAAATCACAGGAAACGCTTTTCCGTCCTCCACAAATGTTTAAACAGTCCCCGACAGAGAAAAGCAATATTACATGAGCTTCCTAACACCGAATCGAATGCTGAGAAAGTCGCACTTTTGAATCATGACGATCTGCAGTTGCGTCTGCTCTGCACAAGCCCCAATATGACGGCGCCCA